GTAGCAGGGAGATCTGAATTGAATGCTGTATTCCAAAATTGTCCTGTACAGTTGCAACATGACATCCCAACTCCTACACTCAATGCCCTAACCAATAAAAGGCAAGTGTATCAAACATCACCTTCATTACCGTGTCTACCTGTGACTCCACCTTCAAGGAACTATGCACTTGCACCCCTAGGTCTCTTTATTTGGCAACACTCCCCAGGACCCTACCATTAACTGTATAAATCCAGCCCTGATTTGTCACATGGCTATGCTCAGTAGTTGATGGACCACTGCTCCAACTAGACTTGGTTTTGGGTTAAGGTAAGAGAGGAGAAAAATGCAAGGTCTAATAATTCATCAGGCGGTGATATTCTACCCAAGATGGAGGCAGCTCTGGCAAACAGTGAATCTGGGTTATTGACACTTTTCCGAATCCCAAACAAAGCATTTTCAGTACGAATAGGTGAGCATCCAGGTCATTTCCAGGCAGATTTTCATAGATATCCTTCATCAGTGTGGTCAGTTTATTTTACACTAGCATCACATCATTGCCAAAGTTCCTCCTAATGTTCCATTTACACTTATATCAAGTAGCATTAGATAGTTTGCCTCTATGAAAACTAGCACTGGGCTCCAATGCAACAGCAGTGCAAGCCACATATCACTTGCATGCAGGTGCACTTTAAATTAACTTTAGCACGGGTGGCAGCTCTCAGTACTATTAGAATACAAGTGAGCGGCTGGGTTCTGGACACAAGTTGCCATCCAAACACATGCACCATGTTCAATTTGTAGAATCTGGAGGACCACATCCCAACCTAAGTGCTTAATCCTCCTCATACTCTCATAGGTCCCACAATTTTGAGAACATATACAAATATCAAGACTACTGCTGAATAATAATCAGAGCAAGAACCTCCTCTCCTCTACACATGGGCACATGGCATATGTTCCTCTTACAATGGGACAAAACTGAATCAAGATGAGCTGCACTGAAAATAACAAATGCTGGAGATCACAGTGGGTCAGACAGCATCCATGGAGATAGAGCAAGCTAATGTTTCAACTCTAGATGATCGTCATCAGAACTGAAGCACTTTGGCAAGCCATCACCACAGAGAAAAGAAAAGATAAAAGGGGAAAATATTCTGCACAAGAGAAATCCTCATATATGTAAAGGATTTTTTTTATTGGCATCCTTCTGGATTGAAAATTGTACACCAAATGAATCTATTAATGTTCCACTTTGTTTCTTTTGCAGTTTGTTCCATTTTGCTGGTGGGAGCATTGCTGTCCTTCTGAAGTTTCTCCAGCCTGTATTATTCATACTAGATTCTGGTAACATTATTTTCTTCATTGCTTAGTGGGGCATGGACATTGTTGGTAGGATCAGCAGTTGTCATCTATTCTTTATTGCCCTTAAGCTGAGAGGGCTAATAGGCTCAGTTCAGAGTCACAGTACTGTGTATTTGGACTAACAACGGCTCCAGACTACGCAAGGACAGTTGATATTTCCCTGACCCCACCACCACCACACAGACAAAGGACATGCAAATCACATGTTTTTTAAAATAACAATCAATTGTAGCTTCAGTAATGACGGCCATGAAACTAACATTTACATTCCATTTATATTAATTCAATTTAAATATCTACCAGCCACCATAGTGGGATTTTAACCCATGACCCCAGTACATGAGCTCTAGATTACTAGTCCAGTGACATTACCACAACCCCACTATTTCCTCCAAACAGAAGTAGAAACTTCGTTGGCTTCCTCCTTTGCTCCCAGCCACCAGTCTTTGCATCCACTCAATCACATCCACCCTAACCTTCTGAGACCAATCGCAAAACCCATAATTGCTTTTGTTTTTAAAAAAGGGCATGGAGAGAACGGGGACAAAATGAATAGATTTTTCAGGGACATTGTAGGGCAAAACAGCATCTATCTGTGCTGCAACAATTCTATTTGAATAAGTTAGGTAGGTAACAGCATGACATGGTGAGTGGTAGAGCAGGTGCAGGAGTGCCTGCTGGAGCACAAGTGTGGGAATAAGGGGGGAGAGTGTATATGGAGAGGTGTGGAGGGGAGCATGTGGACACAAAAGCATCAACAAGAGAGATCTTGTGCAGGAACACAAGAAAAAGACATAAGTGTTGGAAAGAAGTAATGACTTGCATTTATACCACAAGACATAGGATCAGAATTAGGCCAGTCAGCCCACTGAATCTGCTCTGCCATGATCATATGACTAATATGTTTCTCAAAGCCATTCTCCTGCCTTCTCCCCCTTAACCCTTAATCCCTTTACTAATTAAAAATCTCTCTGTCTTAAATGCATTCAGTGACTTGACCTCCATAGCCCTCTATGACAATGAGTTCCATAGATTCACCACACTCTGGCTGAAGAAATTCCTCCTCATTTCAGTTCTTAACTGTCAACCCTTCATTCTGAGGCTGTGCCCTCAAGTCCTCGTCTTCCTATCATTGGAAACATCATCCCCTTGTCCACTCTATCCAGGCCTCTCAATATTTTGAAGGTTCCATCAGATCCCCCCCTCATCCATCTACACTCCATGTACAGATCCAGAGTCCTCAATCACTCCTCATATTACAAGGAGGTCATTGTATAAAGCATCTTTTACAACTAGTGAACGTCTCAAAACATTTTCCAGCAATAGCATTTGTCTGTTTATAATATAAGAAACCAAGAGCAAAAATTGTGAATCTTTCTAACCCAGATACTACATTGTTAAATATATTTAAGGCTGAAACAGATAGAATTTCGACCTCAAAGGGAATACAGCGATTATGGGAAGTGAGAAAGGAGATGGTGCAGAATAGTGGGTAGGATCGCACTGAATGCTGAAGCAGGCTTGAGAGGCTGCATGATCTATTTGTATTTCTTATATTCTGAAGTAAGAGGTAAAAGAATAGATCAAGAGACAAAGAGAAAAATACAATAGAAAATTGTTCACTTATTTGATACCTTTCAGGAGTCTCAGCCTGTTTCAAAGTGCATTACTTCTGAAATCTAGCCATATTGTTATGCAGGAAAGTGCCGCAGCCAGTTCGTGTAGAACAAGCTCTCAGAAATGGCACGGTGATAATGTCCAAATGATCTAGGTTGGGATATTTATTGGCACTGGAGCCCAAGGATCTTCTGCCTCCATTTAAGAATGTATAGATGGTTTAATGCCTCATCCAAAAGCAGTGCTTTCAGCACTGACAGTGTCAGCCTGGGTTCTGGTGCTCAAATTTCCAGAGTAGAACACGGAACAAAGGCGTTCTGATGATAAGTCGGAATGCTATCCACTGAGCCGTGGTTCACACCTTGATATCACACAACTTATAGCTGAGTATTGGGAGAGGGACGTTAGAAAAGGAAAAGAAGCTGAGTTTTTAAAAAGTTAAAAAAAAGCTTGCAGCACACAGACATCAATTAATACCTTGAAAACATGTGACCTGATTCTGGATTTTAGAGGAGGAAGAAAAGTTTTGAAACAGAAGTTGTACAACATCAATATTTGCCAACAGGAGCAGGTAATGTCTGAATTTCACCTGACATCACGTTGCATGATTTAACAACTCCAGTGTTATTTACTCTGTGCATGTGTCCACTGGGAAAGGGAGGAGGGGTACACAGACTGTTTTCTGACAAGAGTGGGAATAATTGAATTCTACTTCAATGATCTGAGAACACAGGATGAAAAAAAAAATCAATAGACCCCATCTGCTGTAGTGTAGTGATGTGAAATGATTCGTGACCCTTGAGCCCTTGCATTAACTGCAGGCTTTGTATCTACTTCATGTTAAATATGTTTTGGATTTACTGAGGGTCTGTCTATTAGAACAGACACACACACACACACACAGAATAAAACGCCTTCTGCATCTGGGAATTGTGTCAGAGGAGCACACAGGCTGAATGACTTCAGAGTATTCTGCCAGTACATAATACACATAGGGCTGCCTACAAAGTTCATTAACCACTTGGTTAAACACCTCTACTCTCTCATCCACCTGAAGAAATTGACTTTCAAGGCTGTGGGTTGGATTCTAGACTCTCAATGCGGAAGTTCACATTACACATCCCACCATGAATTCAATAATTCAGCTGGATCCTTGGAAAAAATCCTGAACCGGTGTGCCAGTGGTTTCAAGGGAGGGAACTTCCATCACCTTCATGATCAAGCCTCACTAATGTCAAAGTCACTTAATGCTGTCAGAGAAGTCAAGCACTCACCTCGGCTGAAATGTCAATTAATGTCAACACAACGTTCTGCATCTGCCACAACTTTCTTAGGACAACTAAACATGGACAATAATTGTGACTTGGGCAGTATTGTCCATATCCCGAAAGGAAAGGGGTTGGACCAGGAATCTTGTCAATATTACCGCTATTATCCTCATTGATGACAAAGTCATTCAACCTGAGACATGGTTATTTCTCCTTCACTTCTCTCTACTTTGGTGGGCTGATAGCAATACCAGGGACATTGCGCATATGATTTTTTTGTCTTGGTTGGTACAGTGAAATGTTCTTAACCACGCATTCAGATTTTCACGCAGCCTAGCCATAGGACTATGTAGAACTGTTGCCAGCTGTCCAAGGCCTGATGCTGTTAGGCCCAACTTGCCTCAAAATATGCTTAGCCCATCTGTTGGCAGATCAACCCAACTGTAGGCACAGCAACTAGAAAATCTCCAGGTACAAGTAACCTGCAACATTGTTGCACTTGGTAAGGCTACTGCTGTTAAGTGATAGCTGAGGGTATGGCCAAAATGGTGAAGTGGTAGAAATTGGGGGTATCGAGAGACCAGAATTGAAGAAGTGCAGAGATCTGAGGATAGTAGGACTCAAGCTGATTACAGAGACAGGAAGAGGCAAGGTAACAGGGATTTGAATGTGCAAGTATCGAAATCTACATCAAAAGCTACTGTTGGGGAGTGTCAGATGCAAAATAAATACAGCAATTGGTGACCAACATGGCCCAGCTTAGTATCTTACCTGTAACACAAGTTTCCCTTTCTCTTTACCCAGGGAGGAACTGCATGATAACAAAAACAAAATAGAAAAACATAAGTCTATATACAGGCTATATCATCTCCAAGGAACAAAACTCAGTAAAAGCAAAAACCCCCAAAATATTTACCAATCTGAACATACTGGGCATCTGACTTTAGTACTACACTATGTCTAGGCCTGAGTCGATGGAAATCAAATAGCCCAGAACAAACACAAGCCCCTCTTGTTGGCAATGCTAGTGCACACACCGGGCAAATGTGTGACAAATTTGTGACAGCAAGCACGCCCTAGTTGCAGTGTGCTCCAATGCACCACAATTTAAAGCTAACCAATTGAACTGGCTCAGTTGTTTTACAAAGTAGATCAGGACTCCTCAATGCCACCAATGGATTAGGAAGCCTCCTGCACTGAAGGAGGACTGGTTACAAACTAGGTTGATTTTGGCTTAGTCAGTCTTCTCAGGGTCCATGCTGCTGGGCAAAAAGTCTAAATGTAGCAGGTAGGCAACTGTGGAAGGCTACTTGTACATGTGGGAAGCCGTATTCAGTTAATAACTCGTTTACAAGAGACGAGAACAGGAAAAAAAAAATCGAAGGGAAAAACACAAAAAGAAGCAAACATCACACTCAGACTACAATCATCATGGGAACAGGGAAACAAAATATAAAATTCAAATGAAGTTCACCTCTTAAACTTGCAGCAATAATGGTTACAAAATGAATTATTTTCCTTAATGCACTCCCAATAAACTCAATGCAGCTGATCAATCAGACCATGGTGACCCTCTAATTATTTTTTTTATTATGCGAAACATTTTATCCCATGTGCAATAGTTGAATAATAAGCAGATTTACATCAAGCTGCCCGAGTCCCAACAAGGTTAACCCCGTTTCATGAATAAAACAGCCAGCATCAATTCTCATTATTTTGGTGGAAGTGTTAACTCAATATCTCTAATGAAATTTGGTACTGAGCTATTCCCTCACTTCTCCATTTATAACCTGAGCTTTTGTCTGCGCTAGTTTACTGTGGCACCTGGATAGAATTAAGGGGCACATTTACACGCCAACTTTATAAAAGAAAAAGAAAAAGTGAAGCTTGACCTTCTGACTACCATTAAACTAAAGCTGCAAATGAGCCAAGGCTGACAACTTTAGCACCGTGGCAAAGTAGTCTTTGCGGAGGTTGGTGTGCGAACTGAGGCCCCTTCTACCTCATCAAGGGAAAATTTGAAAAAAAAAAAAATCCTGTGGCATAATTACCCACAAAAGCAAAGCAGTTCACCCCAGTATCCTTCCTGACTGATATCTATTGCTCAAATAACACCCACAATTAACAGATTTTGATTATTATCATATTGCTGATTGCAGGGTCTCACATTAGCTGTAAAGTGTTTTGGGATGTCATAACGTCGTGAAAGATGTTACAGAAATCAATATTTTATGACTGCAGCTTGCAAGTATGGTAGTCTTTAACAGATGAGATATCCAGAGGGCAAGAGTCAAATCAAAGTTACAAAACCGAGTTCAATAAATTTGGTATTTTGCAGGCTAACACCTGAAAAAAAAATAGAAGACCTCCCTTCAAACGCCTAATGGGTGCCAGGCTTGCAGCTCCTGTAACATCGCACTTTCCTCATGACAACCAGCAGCCTCACTGGGTTCTCTGGGTGAAAACTGTTTTCAATCCTGCCTTGCACAGGAAACCAATATCCTCACCAATTAAAGGTTCTCCTTTGTGAAAATTCAAATTTCAGTTTCCCACTGAAGAGGGATTTCAGACGAAAAAATAACTGGCTCCTCCTCTCCACCTCCTTGGCAAAACATCAGCCTCAGGGTGAGATAGGAAATATATAGTCAGCCAAGAGTGCTGTACCAGCTACCCTAAGTATTTGAATCAAACCATGGAGTGATATAACACAGGAGGTAGTCATTTTGACCATTCGTGCCTGTACAGTTCGCAACTAAGACTAGAATTTTCTGAAATGCCTTTCAAAATCCAATAGAATTGGATATGATCCAATGTTGGCACTCACTGTTTTGAGCTCAACCACTAAAGAATGGTGTTCATCTCAAATATGATATTAAACTGCTTTCCTGGGTGGATGGGAAAAGATCCTATTGCAATTTTTTTGAAGAAAAGAGAAGTTGAAATAACTTCATGGAGGCCAGCATTCCATCACTAAGTCACCCTTTATTTACACATGGAAAGTCCTTGACACTGGCCCTGCTCCCTCAGCTAACAGAGCATCAGAATATCTGACACTGATCTTTTGATTTGTCAGCCAGGGCATCTGATTGGGGCTGTTAACCTGGTCAAATCAGGGAACTCATTCTATTAGGTCCACCTGGCTGATGTCATTACATTCTAAAAAAAAAACTTGATCATTAATTTCTTCGTCTTTTGGGTAAACTATCTACTGCATTGCCTATATTAGAAAAGTAATTACACTTCAAAAGCACGTCATTGACTGTGAAGTGTTTTGAAATGCCCTGAGGTTGTGAAAGCATCTGTATACATGCAAGTTTTTTCTTTAAACAGCAGTTATTTTCAGGATAAAATATGCATAAACTTATATCCAACAATATCTTAGCAAAGTTTGGAGGCAGTTCAGAGAAGGTTCACTAGGTTGATCCTGGGTATGAAGGGACTGTCCTAATAAGAAAGGTTAAGTAAGTTGGGCCTATACTGGTTTAAGCTTAGAAAATTGAGAGGAGACCTTTGGAAACACAAGGTTCTTAGGAGCTTGACACAGTAGTTGTGGAGAGATTGCTTCACCTTGTGGGAGATTCTAGGAGATTCTCAAATTCAGGAGTTGCCCAATTCAGACAGGGGTAAGGAAGAATTTTCTTTTCTCAGAAAGTAGTCAAACAGGAAGGCTTTTTTTTTATACAGAGGGCTGTTAAGGTTGAGTAATGACATTAAAAGGCAGAGATAAAGATTTTTAACCAGTAAGAGAATCAAGGATTATGGGGAAAAGCAAGGAAATAGAGTTGAAGATAATCAGATTAGCTATGATCACAATGAAGATGGAGAAGATTCGATGTGCTGAAAGGTCCACTTCTGTTTCTACATCTTTTGGTCTAATAGGCAGCAAATTTCAATCCAGATTTTGTATTGCACAGTAAAGAATTTATACTCACTCTAACAAAAAGGACTGAAAATGAATTACTGATTACATCAACAATATCTGAAGTGAAAGATTAAGTGGATTAGCCATGGGAAATACAGGATTACAGGGATAGGGTAGGGGGTGTGGGGTGGGTTTGGGTGGGATGCTTTTAAGAGAGTCAGTGTAGACTCGATGGACCGAAGGGGCTGCTTCCACACTGTAAGGATTCTATGATTCTATCAAAGTGGAAATGAACTGATGGGTATACACTGCATGCATACTCATTTGGTCCGGTTCTCTTTCTACTTTGGGCTTTCCAGCATCACATTCCCTCTTGATTCCAAAGCTGCTCTTTCTCCCTGTTAAACTCCCCTTTCTCCAGCTTTTTCTTTTTCCCATTCCTTTCACCAACTCTTGGGTTGATTGTCCTCTGAACACAACTGCTCCCCCCAATTCCTATCTCACATCGTCTGCTGACACCTCAGTCCTATGCCTCCTCACTGCCAACCCAACCCCAATATTCCCTTCTCTGGCTACTTATCCATTCCACTTCTAGACTCCACTCATCTCTGCTCCCAGTCTTATGCTTCTCCTGTCCCATTCTTGTGCTCTCTTTATCCATTCTACATCTGTTGTTCTTCTGTCCCATTCTTGAATTCTCACTGTTCACTTCTCTAAAGGTCTTGTTGCAGCAGAGCACATGAAGCAAATCAACAATACATTGAAACTAAATTCTCATGCTGAATGGAGGTAGATGTGGCCTGACATCTGACTGAAAATTGGGAGGGGGGTGCTGCAGTGAGGAAAAGATGACTCTTCTAACCTGTACAAGGCAGACAAATGGAAAACCAGTACTTTATTCTTTGTTCTTTAAAAGAACATTCACTGGGATCACTTTGTTTCTCTCCAAAAACAAAAAAGAAAGCACATTTGAAATTATTGACAGGCAGAAAGAGAACCAGTCTCCTTAAACACTGCTGGTAAACTGTTTATCAGAGTTTTCAACAGCTTTGTGCGCAAGCTTTGCTGATAGCAACACATCCAAACTAATTGCTTTAAAATTAGTATCGACCCCAGTGCCTTCCAGCTGCTGCAAATTCACCAGATTGAGTGATGAATCTGGACTCGGACAAGCCGCTCGATAGGAATTTTTCATTTTTTCCCTTTGTGTATGGATTGAACATGCTCCCTGCCTTCTGCATTGTACAAAGCCAGCTCACCCTTCTCTCTCTTCCCCTGATTCCCTCTCCGCTGTCAAGGTAACACATCACAAGTGCTTCATGCAATAATTAAAATCAATGCAGGTAATAGTTATACTCAGGTCAAAAATACCAATGTACCGTATAGACAAAGAGGATGGATATGCTGCTGCAGGTGATACTCATGTGAACAGAGCAAAATAAAACTTTCAGGTTGGCCAAGGGTGAAGCATCACTTGCATTTAAGAGATTATCACGGATAGACATTTCATAGACATGTAATCAGACCAAGATTCATGGCAAGTCAGTTAAGACATAAAAGAAGCGTGGCCACAAGCTTGGAGCCACCTGTTCCTTTTGTCCTTGAAGAGATTTTGCTCTGCACAAAATTGTTGACGAAGCACATTATTGAAGCAATTCACTGCACATGCTGCACTTGGAAATAATAAATGAGTTATGGTGAGGCGTTATGTGAACGTAAGCTTCCTTTTCAGTGTCCCTCCACTCCACCCCAACTGAAGATGATGCAAGGCAGTCTAACACCAGCCTGAATCTGATAAACCCTCTCAAGTAGAGAGGGAAACTTGTCAAACCAATAAACCTTTATATTCAGCAGCGTTTCCAGAATGAAAAAGGTGTGGGGCTAAGAACAACATTAAACAATTAGAAAAGAAACATATGCACCCTGACTGTCTTACTCGCTAATATTTCCAGATTACACAAACTTGCACTGTTTCCACAAGGGGGCTGTAGTATTTCACCCAAGCAACACACCATGTACAACACTGGCCAACCGGTTGGGATTGTGTGTGTGCATATGTGTGTGCCTGTCCGTGTCGCTTCTCTTAAATTGTTGACAATGAGTTACCCTTGCCCTATGACTTCTATCTAGAAGGGGAAGTAGTAATAAGGGAGAATGGGGTGGGTAAAATTTTGTATGGAAACCAACAATCCCCTCCCACCTTCTACTTTGCAAAAGCATTGTAACTGAAACACTAATTTGTCGCCTTGCTCACAGAGACTGCCCAAGCTGTTGAATATTTTCAGCACTGAAAATGATATTTTTGAATATCACTGCTTAAGATCTAGACACTGAATTGAAGCTTGCCACCTGGTCTCCCTCCAGCATTCAGGACAGATGCTTAAAAGTGAAAGCCCTCAGGTAACCGAGACCAGCCTGCCCTTTCTGATGCAGATTCTGTGCCCTCCAACCCAATAACAGAACAGGAACAGAATAGAACGATCTGCATTTATATACATAGTCCTGTACAGATAATTAAGTACAATTGAAGTGTAGTCATTTTTGTAATGTAGAAAATGAGGCAGCTAGTTTGTACACAGCAAGCTCCCACAAGCAGCAATATGATAATGACTAGATGGTCTGTTTTTCTGATGCTGATAGAGAGATAAACATTGAACAGGACAGAGAATTCATTTGCTCTTCTGTGAAATAGTAGCGTGGAATCTTTTACACCCACCATCTGATAAAGGTGGCACCTCTGCTAGTGCAACTCCTTCAGCACAGCCCAGGAGGTGGAGGAGGACTGCACCTTGGCAGAGGCGTTCTGATCCCATGGTCGCTTGTCTCAGTCAAGGCCCAATTGCATTGTAGACAAAATCTTCCAAAAGCGCTTGGCAGTTTCTGGGATCAGTGAGAGACAGAGAAAACTAGATCGATCCCTAACGGGGGGGGCGTCAGGATGGGTGGAGTCTGGAATCAGGGGTCACAGTCCAAGAATACTGATAAACCATTCAAGACTGAGATGTGGAGAAACTTCTTCACCCTGGTCAGCCTGGAAAATTCACTACCACAGAAACCAGTCAAGGCTAGAACATTGAAAATGGAATAAGAATCATTCAGTTGTAATTTTGGCTGGTGTGAATTTGATGGGCCAAAGGGCCTTTGTGTGGTACAGTAGATCTCTATGACTCTATTGTACGATTTCAAGCAGGAGTTGGGTATAGCTCTTGGACAAAATGTGTCAAAATATATGGGGGAAAAGCAGGAACAAGCTATTGAGTTGGATCAGGAGCCATGATGAATGGCAGAATAGGCACAAGGGGGCCATATGGCCAAATGCTGTTCTTTTCTATGTTTAAAACTGTTCCTCATCCAATGTCACCCATTCACTGACTCCCATGACATTCCTTCCAGATTATTTTAGTACAGCTACAAGTTGGCAAACAGTTTATAAAAGAAGAAGAAGTGGGACCTATTAGCAGGAAATTCTATGAAAAAAAAACTCACCCATGTCTCTCCAAACATAGTGAAACCTGCTCATCGTATCTGTAGTAGTGGGCTTTGGAGTGATCAAAAGTTGTGTAGGGAGAACTGGTCAGGTCCGGTGACACAGCTGACAAAACGGGGGAGAAAAATAACTGTTTACACACATTGACAGGCACCAGCAGGTATTGATCAGACACAGACAAACATGCACAGAGACTGGCTAGTTCAAAATGACCTGCTACTGTGCTATACGTTTCATGTCATTCTATAGATAACAGACACACGCCAATCCCTCAGAGCCTTATGAATTCTCAAAGTCATCATGGCCAATCGTTCAATTTTTTTTAAAATTACAATTGAATACTGTGGCTGGGGACAGAGTATCTAAAATCCTGAGCCAAACCTGCTGTTTGGTGGATAATATCCAATATTAGGGCTTTTACAAAAGTAGTAACTGGAAACACCCAGCAAGTCAGACAGACTGCACACAAAAGAAAAATAGTAAACTTCCCATGAGAAGCAACTTAACAGGAAATCGAAGGGTCTCCAGCCAAACTAATAAAAGGGCATTTGTTGATGGAGTGCTATACACTTCCAGAAGTTAGCTTTTTAAAAAATCCAATTTGAAAATCAGGAGGTAAGGCACTAAAAACATAATATAGACATAGGAAGTGGACAGAGGGAGGCTAAGAAATCTGGTGGGAGGATTTGTGGTGAAGTCTGTAGGTATTTGTCCAAACAGAACTGGCAATACCCAAATTATCTATACAAGTCCTCAGATACCAACAGCAACAACTTGTCTGTAAAGTCTAATACTTAACCCTTTCTCCTCCCTGTTATACTGCACCGACACTGTAGTCATTATAACAAAGTCAGCATGATGGACCTCATTGGATGAAGGGTCTGAGCACTCAAAACGTTAACGCTGACTTTTCTTCACAGATGCTGTCAGACCTGCTGAGCTTTTCCAGCAACTTCTACTTTTGTTCCTCACAGAATAAGAGTTTCCCGATTGGGGTTGTTAATCTGATCCAATCAGGGAGCCCTGGTTGACATGTAAAAAGGGTGAGCATCAGAGATATTGACACTCTTGTACCTGACTCTCAACAATGCAGTACTAAAGTCAAGGACTGTCCATGCATAAACAAAGGGAGACTTTGTGATGGGATACTGGCCTCTGCAGAGTTATTTCAGGTAATCCTTCATCTTCCCTCCAGTCCTGAACTGGAATTAAATGTGACTGTTCTGGCATACTATTATCCTTAACAACTGAGCTCCGTGCATTACTTTTAAGACAAATAATGTGGTTTTTGTCAGTCAGCTCTACTCTGCACTGCCCTTTAATATTAAAAAAGGTGCAATCATTGCCTCAGTCTTTGTGTTTCCTGGTCACACATACACAGCACTGAGCATTTCCCCTTATGTCACCTTACCAACAGCCTCAGTTAGCTGGTAAGCCAATTGTGAATATCTTTGCCACATTCCTGCCAATATTAATCCAGCCCAGCATGTGCCAGCAGCTTCAAATGTACCCATGTGTACATATGTAAAACGCATTGCATGTAAATAGGTCATTCAGCCCAACAGCTATGTGCTGGTGTTATTCTCCACGAGGCCCCTTCCCCTTATCAGTACACTTCTTCCTCCTTCACATACATCCTTGCTACTTACCTCAACAGTTTCACATGGTTGCAAGTTTCACATTCTAACCACTTTGCTGCTGTCCTCCCCCTACAGCCCCTTTCTCAGTGTAAAGGCTAATGCTACAGATTGTGTCAACGGGATTTTCCCACTAAATAAAAACCGTAAGAACTGCGGATGTTGTAAATCAGAAACAAAAACAGAAGTTGCTGGAAAAGCTCAGCAGGTCTGGCAGCATTTATGATGAGAAGGCCAGAGTTAACGTTTCCAGTCTGGTGACCCTTGGTCAGAACTGGAGGAAGGGTCACTAGACCCGAAACATTAACTCTGATTTCTGTTCACAGATGCTGCCAGACCTACCAGGCTTTTCTAGCAACTTCTGTTTTTGTTTAGGATTTTCCCACTGTGTGGGTTGGGGAAGCCTCAGCCGAGCCACAATGAAATCCTTACCTAGAGTTTCCCGTTCTGGTTGGATGTATTCTTAGAGGTACTATTACATGGATGATAATGGAATAGTTTAGGATAGAAGGGCTTCAGATTGGTTTCACAGGTCGGCGCAACATCGAGGGCCGAAGGGCCTGTACTGCGCTGTAATGTTCTATGTTCTATGTTCTATCTGCCACCTTCAACCTGCCAAACAGCCTTTTAAGTCACCTCAAAAGAACAAATTGAATCACTCAAAAGAAAATAAAGCCTTTTGTTTTTATTTTGAACTGTCCCTACTGCTTTTTCTTTTTGCAGCCAGAGTCCAGGAAATTAATCCTCAACTCCTGGGAATTCCAGGACAATTCTGGAGGGCTGACAGCTTGAATCTGCACCTGAGCCAACAGCTATATGCTTGCTCTTTGACAAGTCTCTGTCTGTACTGAAGAAATACCAGATGTAGCTCTGAAAGAGACATAATGGGGAAAGAGAATCAGAGTGGTCACATTACTGGATTAGTAATCCAGAGAGCTAAACAAATGATCCAAAGATGCGAGTTCAAATCCCTCCATGGTGGCTAGGATTCAAATTTGCTTACTAATCGATAAGATTAAAATAAAATCTAATATCAGTACTGGTGACCTCAAAACTACAGAATTACTGGTATGCTTGAGGGATGGAAATCTAGTGTCCTTGCGTGATCTAGCTTACATGACTCGGACTCCAGACCTGTGGCAAAAAGGTGATATGACTGATGTCACCAGCCGCTCAATAGGGCAATACTTGCTAACCTTGCCAGTTGTATCGACAGCCTATGGCAAATAAAGATAGGACACAGGCCTAAGACATGGCTGTGAGGAAAAGATGACAAGACAACACTTTGCACAGACACGAATCAATCCCTGGATATAGTACAACATTCAACTGAATTGCAATGGCATATGCTGCACTCTAGCTGAAGCTCTGCACAGTACAAGAACTCGCAGTCTCTCTCATTTCCATACTTTCATTAACTGGTTGGATGATCCTGTCCAACCCTCGAGACTGATAGAATTCTCGAATTCGTTTCTCTTCACCTGTAAAAAGAAGGAACATATTTCATGCAGTTTCAAATTGAATAGGGCAAGATTAATCCAATATTATGAAGAATACAAATGAGATGCCATGGGGGTCAGGGCACAGAAATCTACTTCAAGGGAATCAGAATCACCGCTGAGAGGAAACTAAAGAGACACAGAGATATGAATGACAACATTTTGTGACATATTCACATTGCAGAGGTGGGGGGTAGTCAATACAATCCATGCCTGGTTAAATTGGCTGCAAGTAAAGTGAAGAGGTCGTATAGCCTAATAAAGATTCTCCCTCCAGTACATCACCCTCCTAGATTAACATCCAATAATTAAATGGCCTCAATAGTCCATCCCTCCTCCAAGAACAGTTAGATTACAGTGTGACAGAAGAAGAGCAGAGCTGGACCTGCACAGTTACAGCACCCAGGGTATCAGTCAGGAATGCAGATGCTAGTCTTGGCCCAGTGACTGATATCTGCTGGGATTCAGACAGATAACGTTAACAGCCCATAACAGGAAGTAAGAGCTCCTGATGCAAACTGGTAGCTTGGTGCCAGGACTGAAGTACAGTGAGTCACTCCTGACTGGCACTGGTGGGGTGCAGGACAGAAGTACTGGCCTTCATCTCTGCTCCCTGTCCAATTATTCCAGATTTTTATCATTCTTTCTACATTGCAGTTGGTTTTGAAGTCAGATTTTTAAAAAAATGTTTGTGGTTTTAACCAGTTTACACTTATGACTTGTAAAACCAAGTGAGCATCAAGCTGGCATATTGAGAATTTACCCTCTACACATGCTTAAAACTTACTCTCCTGTAGACCTGGTACAAGTTTGTAGACAATATCCTGCATCACCCGGTCAAGCTTAAGGTTAAGCAGAGGCTGCGTCTCGTGGATTTTTATGTTGCACATTGGGCAGTATTTGCTGGTCTGTAGGTACTTCACAATACAACTCTTACAGACTGGAAAGAAAAAGACATCTTTAAGATAGAATACCCACTGATCTGGGGACACAGTGTCAATTATTCATCAAAGCACAACAGCATACAGTGTTTCACCTCTGCCAAACTTTCCAAATAGTCCCAGACCCCCCAGTTTTTCCACAAAGGTCTGCAATTTAAGTATTTCTCAAACACCGATTCAACTTCCTTTTGAAAGTTACTGTTCAATCTGCTTTTTCCTTAATCATTTCTGGGATGTGGGCTTTACTGGCTGGGCTAGTATTTATTGTCCATCCCTAACTGCCCTCAAGAAGCTAGTGGTGAGTTGCTGCTCGGGCCACTGCAATCCATTTGGTCTTTGCACAAAAGCTGAGAGTAGAAGGGCGTGTTTCGGTATTCTGACCCAATGGTGGCTTCCACCAACATTTCAGACAGCACATTCCAGATCACTATTGCTCACTGCACAGAACTTACATTCACATCTCCCATTATGTCCCCAATGAAATTCTTTTGCCAATTCCGTCTGGGCTGACTTTTCCAGTTACTGACTTCGATACTGGTGGGAACAGGTAACTACGGGTGGCAATTGAATACAGGGACTGACTGTTCAATGCCAATCAATGCTGAGATGTCCCACTGAGAACAGCACAGGAACAGACCACTTAGCCTAACAGATCCATTCCATGTTGATGCTCCACACAAGCCTTTCTTCATCTAATCCCTGTCACAGTTCTTTCTTTTCCCTCCTCCCTCAAGCGTCGGATACTCCTCAAATGCAACTGGCCAATTTGCTTTAACTGCTCCCTGCAGTGACAAGTTCCATATTCTTAGCTACCTTCTGAATAATGTACCTTTCCTTGAATTCACAACTGAATTTATTCATGACTTTCTAATACTTATGGCTGGTAGTTCTGGCGCCATATGTTGGAACATCTTTCCTTTGTAAGTGTCAGTGGCGTCAGTGGTGGGGGAAGCAATGCCACTGAAAGTGCAATCAATAAGTGTTTAATCAAAACTCTCCTTACACAGCATTGGGAATTAGTCATTGAGTGATCTTGTGATTGTACTTTTTGGCCACAGCACAACATCCATAGTCTCAACTAAGTCAGAAACCACTTCAACTTCCTTTCACTCTTGGGCCAATTGAAGGCGTATTACTGGAAAAACAGCATCACCTGGTGGTGTTATCAATAACTACAAGCAATCAACTGAAATTGAAAGCCACAACAAGTACTGGAAAATGGGAAGCAGAAAATGCATTCAGATCTACTGAATGGAAAAAAATAACGAGCTCATGTTTCAGGCAGAAACTGAATCAAAACTGCTCATTAGGTAAGGGTATGGAGTGACAGAGTGGTGAAATGGAGGAGCGGTAATACAGATCAGCCATCATCTATGTTGTGATGGAGCAGGTCAAAGGAGCTGAATAACAAGTGTTCCAAATGCACTCAACCAGAAGGTTCCCTTTATACAAACAAGAAAGTATCTTTTCTCTCGGACATGCTGATAGACCTGATAGGCTGGGGCTGTTTCCTTTAGAACAGAATATGCTGTGGGGTGGGGGTATGTGACTTAAAGTGTACAGGTCTATCCAGTTTCTCTCAGATCTGACATTGTGCTGCTGTTGACATGTAAAATTGAGAAACAGCAAAGAATTTCATTTATATAGTGCCTTCACGACTCTCAGACTATCAGACCACTTACAGCCAGTTGTGAAATTGCAGCATCTTTATTCATTCATGGGATGAGGGTGTCGCTGGCTAGACAGCACTTATTGCCCATCCCTAATTGCCCAGAGAGCAATTAAGAGTCAACCACGTTGCTGTGGATCTGGAGTCACATGTAGACCAGACCAGGTAAGGATGGCAGTTTCCCTCCCTAAAGGACATTAGTGACCCAGATGAGTTTTTCCAACAATCGGCAATGGATTTCATGATCATCATTAAACTGTTAATTCCAGATATTTATTGAAATCAAATTCCACCATCTGCCGTGGCGGGATTTGAACCCGGGTCCCCAAAATGTTATCTGGGTCTTTGGATTAACAGTCCAGTGATAATACCACTAGGCCATCGACTCCCCTACTAGAGTATATAATATGGAATATTGAGGTGCAATATTAAAATAATTAGAAATATGATATGTACCAAATTTAATGCTTTGGGAGGTACAGGTAACTTTAAACCCATGTTTCCTAACATTCACCACCATAAGATGGGTGTGTTTCCCTTATTTGGTATCAATCCATGTTGTAAATGCTCCATTATTGTGGAATAATGAAACGCCAGGATCCTAGAGGTGGAGAAAGTCCAGTGTACCTCGGGAACTACTAATCCTTTAAAGACTGGGGTTAAATCAGGACCAAACCGCATTACAGACAAGGCTGGAAATATAGTCTTTAAAAAGTGGTTGCTTAGAATATGGAATTCTGTCAAAAACATCACCAATATAGACTCTATAAAATTCTTTGAATGGGTAAAGGGCAGCATGGTGGCTCAGTGGTTAGCGCTGCTGCCTCACAGCATCAGGCACCCAGGTTCAATTCCAGCCTCAGGTGATTGTCTGTGTGGAGTTTGCACATTCTCCCTGTCTCTGTATGAGTCTTCTCCCACAGTCCAAAGATGCGTAGGTTAGGTGGATTGGCCATGCTAAATTGACTGTAGCCTCCAGGGACATGCAGGCTAGATGGATTAGCCATGGGAAATGCAGGATGACAGGGATAGGGTAGCAGGTTGAGTCTGGATGGGAAGCTCTTCAGAGGGCCAGCATGGACTCGATGGACTGAATAGCCTGTTTCCACACTGTACAGATCCTATGATTCAATGATTAAATTTTGGCCTGAAAAAGAAACATATTAAATAGTACTGGTGTGGGAGATTAAACTGGCTAGCTCTGTGCAAACTCTATGTAAATGCTAGGAATATAATGAATATATGATCCGAGGATAGGGACAGACAGGATATCTTGGGTATAAATGGGAAAATAAAAGCTTGGTTTAAGGATGGCAGCTCAGCACCTTTGGATATACAGACTTAAGGAAATATTGATCAAAGATTTCACATCATTATGGAAAGGGAAAAATACAGAACAAGAGTAAAAAGTTTAAATTCGGCAATGGCAAACTTTACAAAGCCAAGAGATGATCTGGCAAGATTGGACTGGTTATAGCCATGTGAAGGACTGTGGAAATCAGTGGGAGGCATTCAAGAGCAGGTTCTAATGGCTCTAAGTGCAGACATGTCCCACCAAAGAAAAAGGGTGGTAATACCAAATATGGAATCCCCTAATTATCCAGATTTCTACAGTGCGAGTTAAAGCAGAAACATACAGCATTAAACAATTTCAAAACTAATATTATTTTACAAAGCTTGGAGAAGGACAGAAAGTACAGGGGTGAAGTGAAAAAAAAATTAAGGTGGCAACAGGAGAATATGACAATTATGGGCCATGTGAAATTAGGGAAGATCTGGAGAGGCTTTATTAATGTATTAAGATGAAGAGAATGACCAAGGAGAAGACTGGGCTTGTCAGGAGATGTATATGGCAACTTGTAGGCAGGGTTCTTCATGAGTATTTTGTCTCAATCTTCATAATAGAGATGGATGATGTAGACTTTCTAGTTAAGACGAGTGTGAATTATTAGGTAAAATAAGTGTAATGAAAGGGGAAGTACTGGAGAGACTGACCCTCTTGAAGGATAAATCACCTGGGCCAGATGAATTGCATCATTAACCAAAAGGGACAAGAAAAAAACACAAGAGAAAACTCAGAGTAGCAGGGAGAGTGCACTGCAGCTTCTACCCAGCTTCAAGACTCAGTGACAAGTACTGAAAACACAAAAAAAATCTTGGATCTGTGGCCTGCCTACACCCCACCCATTCAGGCTGCTTCTATTGTTCCAACTTTCATAAAAAAAAACCTGAAGAAGGGTCTAGGCCCGAAACGTCAGCCTTCCTGCTCCTCTGATGCTGCTTGGCCTGCTGTGTTCATCCAGCTCTACACCTTGTTGCCTCATAGGCTGTTTACTTTAACGGTTTTCAATAGATAGCTCGACACCTTTGCCTTAAAACCTCCCTTCAACAAAAACCAGGACAAAATACACCTCTTAATGCCATAATATCATCACATTATGTACCTCCTGCAGTGAGTACAGAGGAGATTTACAAGATTATTGATTGGGCTTGAAAATTGGAGGTATAAGGAAAGATTGGGTAGGCTGGGACTGTTTTCTTTAGAACAGAATATGCTGTGGGGTGGGGGTATGTGACTTAAAGTGTACAAAATAATGAGGGGCTTGGATAGAATAGACAGGAAAGACCTGTTTCCCCTAGGAGACAGGTCAATTACTGGGGGCGGGGTGGTGTGGGGTTTAAGATGATTGTTAGAAAGATTAGAGGAGCATGAGGGTGGTGGTGTCTGGAATTCACTGATCAGTTTGGTGATTGAGGTAGAAACTCTAAATGCATTTTAAAGGAACCCGAGTCCGCACCTGAAGGGCTAAAGGCTACAAGCTAGGTGCCGGAAAGTGGGATAAAATAGGCAGCTACCTTATTCAGCTGGCAAAGGCTTGATGGGCTGAATGGTCTCTGTGTGCTGTAACATGTCAATGGATATAGTGCTATTCTCTAACATTCTATGGCTATACAATCCTAAGTCAGTCACTAATTTGAGCCTTATAATTTCCATCTGGCAACAAAGAATCAGCTCATACAGCATAAAACAGGCCCTTCAGCTTGTCGTGTCTATGCCAATTAACAAACACCAAATTACACTAATCCCACTTACCTGCACTTGGTCCATTGAGGACGCCCAGCGTCCTCCACTCCAAGGAAAACAAACCTAGCCTATCCAATCAGTGATGCTGAAACAAAGAGTTGGATTGCTGCTTGAAATCTCAGTTAAGGACAACAGGTGGGATAGACAAATAAGATGGGAAGTAGAGATAGTAGGAACTGCAGATGCTGGGGAATCCGAGACAACAAGGTACAGGGCTGGATGAACACAGCAGGCAAAGCAGCATC